GTCCTTTACCCATTTTTTTATTGGGTTATTGGTCTTTTTGTTGTTGAATTATGGAAGTTCTTTTTGTATTCTGGATATTAAACCCTTATCAGATATGTAATTTCTAAATATTTTCTCCTTATCTCTAAATTGTCTCTTCACTTTCCTGATAAAGTCCTTTGATGTGCAAAAGTTTTGAATTTTGCAGAAGTCCAATGTCTGTTTTTTCTTTAGTTGCTTGTGCTTTTGGCATAATATCGAAGAATTCATTGCCAAATACAAGGTCCTGAAGATTTACCCTTGTATTTTCTTCTAAGAGTTTAAGGTTTTAGCCCTTAGATTTAGGTCATTGATCCCTTTGACTTAATTTTCATAAATAGTGTAAAGTAGGGGTCCAACTTTATTCTGCATGTGGAAATCCAGTTGTTCCAACACCATTTGTTACAGAGACTATTCTTTCCCCCATTGAATGAACTAGACATCCTTGCTGAAAATCAATTGACCATAGGTATATGAGTTTATTTCTGGACACTCAGTTATATTCCTTTGGTCTGTATGTCTTCTTTTATATCAGTACCACATTCTTTTGATTACTGTAGCTTTATAGTACATTTTGAAGTCAGGAAGTGTGAGTCTTCCAAGTTTGTTCTTTTTCAAGACTGTTTTGGCTAATTGGATGCCCTGTAGTTTTTATGAACTTGAGGATAGGCTTTTCCATTTTTGCAAAAAAGGCCGTTGGAATTTTGATAGGTATTACATTGAATCTGTAGTTCACTGTGGGTAGTATCTACCTCTTGACTTATTAAGTCTTCCAGTCTATGAAAGTGGAATTTTTTTTTCATTTATTTAGATCTCCTGTAATTTCTTTCAGCAATGTTATATACTTTTCACAGTACAAATCCTTCACCTCCCTGGTTAAATGTATTCCTAGGTATTTTATTCTTTCAGATGCTATTGTAGATGGTATTGTTGTCTTGATTTCCTTTTCAGGTTGTTCATTACTGTTGTATATAAAACCAACTGATTTTCATCTGTCAAATTTGTACCCTACAACTTTGCTGAATTCATTTATTAACTCTAGTAGCTTTCTT